TATATATATATATAACGCCCTTGCTGGGTGGAAGGATAAAAATAAGTCTTAGGCAGGGAAAGAGAGCACTAAATTTATTTAATAATTAATAGACAGAGAACAGTTATCAAAGTGACACAAAATGTTGTGCTCCTCAATAAAAGCTAGGCGAAATCTTGCAAAGTAGATCCGTAAAATGTTTCGTTTTAGGGAATACTTAGTAATTGTTATTGGTCTGTTAAATGGGTACAGGGAAAAAGTCTTTTCCACGTATTAGTTAAAGCAGTGTTTCACAAAGTGTGGTACGCATACCACAAGGGGTACGAGAGCAGTTTAGTGGGGTATGCATTCTCATGCGAAATATCTCACAATAAACGAAAATTTCAAAATTTTTTATTTAAAAACAAAGCTAGCCATGAAAATTTACGATTACATATTTTTCTATTAGCTATTTTTTGCAGAGTCAACAGCTAATAATTAGTGGTATCAACAGCCAGTTGTGTTTTTTAACTTTTGTGCATTTTTTTATAGTAAAAAATACATTCATTTTTTTATTAGTGGTACACAGCGTTAAGAAAAATTTGGAAAGGGTACACTAAAGTCATAAGTTTGGGAAACACTGAGTTAGAGGGATAATAGCCAGAATGATAATTAATGCATACTTGAACTAAAAATAGATTAAAAGATAGGATGTGAATTTTAAAGTGAGATAGAGCGTTTTGGTTTGAATTAAATATTAAGAAAAGGATTTTCAGAAAAGGAATAACAGAGAAAGTTTAGTTGAAGCTTTTTATGTTATATATATACATATAATTTGTTAATATAATCAGAATACATTTGCCGGAAAAAAATTTTCTTTGTCGGTTTATATGAAAAAAGTCATATTTTATTACTTAATGCCATAAATTTAGCTATTTTTACGATATCCTTTTATTAATTATTGCTTCACAACTTTTTATGTGTTATCTTTATAATCTTTTACTAAATTGGTGGCGAAACAGTATATAAAAAATTAATTACTTTTGTATTTTCTGATGCAAGTGAGTCAGTTGTTAATTTCATAATAAATCAAAAATATATAAAATAATAAATATAAATGCATAATATATTTCTCTATAAATTTAAATCAATTCAAGAGTATTCAAAAGGAAAAAAGGTTAAATAATTATTAATTTCTTAAAGAAATTTTTTCCCATCATTTATAAAAAAATTTCCATCGTTCATTTATATAAAAAAAATCATAATTTATAAAAAATTCCATCATTTATTAAAATTCCATCATTTATAAAAAAAAAATAGTATGAACTAGTAAATCTTTAATTTCGAAGAGCAAAAAGCACTAATAAAACAAGTAAAAGTTAATATTTTACTGTACTAATGAAGACTGATATTCTGAAAATGAAAGCATGTTTTAAACATTTTTAAAAAATGTTTTTAAAAAATCTTGTAATATGAAAATAAGACTTATGTTCCAAGGAAAGGATCCTGAGACTGACAAAACCTGTGTCCAGCCCTCTAGAAATCAAACTTCCGAAAAAAAATTTCGAATAAATATTAATTAATTTTAAAGCATTTTCTATCTGATACCTATTTAATAATTCAACTCTGTTTTAAATCAAAAGATTTTACTAAAAGACAAAAAGTATTTTTTAAAAACTTGACTTCAACTGTCACTTCACTGTTGACTTCAAAAAAAAAAAATAGGCAGTCAGTTATTTAATATATATGTTTTCGTTTTAGAGTATATAAATTGCACAAGCAATCTGAAATTAAATATGATTTAATAAACAAGTAAGAAAGGGATATCTAATGTGAATTATATCTGTTGCAGCTTGGATATCCTCAACCTTTTATGTCGTACTTTCATAATTCCGACAATAGCTGTTCTACTGCATCTGTTGCACCTGCTTGCACAACACCTACCAAAACGTAAATATTTATTTTTCTTTTGTACCTTTTTTAGGGATCATATGATTTCTTTTTCTCCAAGAAATAATATTTAATGGCATATCCCTTACCATTCTAGCTTATCTGAAGTTGAGAACTGATAACTCTTGTATTGCTCGATTTAAAAAGTTTGAAACTAATAAGTGTGGATTAAACTAAACTCTGTGGTGCAACAGCCCATAGAGGGCCAAGGCCTTCTGTGCCTTTCTTAGTTTTCTTGACCTTGGGCTCTGGGGTGCAGGAGCAGATGCATACCTGCCAACTTTTAATGCTTTCGAGGATGGTTTTACCCAGTGGTAGCAAATTCTAATTTAAATTACAATTCTAGGCGGAAACATGTGCTGTTTTTGTACAGAGCTTATGTGGTCAAACTCGACAGTGTTTTATATCGATATATATGCTTAATTATTTTAAAAATAGTGGTGGTCAAAAAGATTTTAAATTAAGTTTAGAAATGGAAGATATATATAGAAATCAAGCATTTTACTACCACTTTAAATATAGAAAAGTTGGCAGATATGCAGATGTTCTGGTTGAGTGATCTGCCAAATGCAGAACCCCCAGTGTTTAGCCCCAAGCAGGCTTGGTACTCATTTTATCGACCCTCTGAAGGGACGAAAGGCTAGCTCAACCTTGCCCTGTCCGATGATCGAACCCAGGACCTGTGGGCTGAGTGGAAGCACTACCACTCAACCCAAGTGTCATAAGTGTTTATTATTATTGTTTTAATTTTATGAAGGCTGTAAAAGATAGAAACAGTGTTTAAACTTGGGGAGGAAATTACGTTGAAATTTTTAAAATAGCATACAATGAAGATAAACATCTTCAGTACAGATTAGTGAATTGACTATGAAAAACATTACAAATTAGTGGTAATAAGTAAATAAAATATAAAATTAGATCATACAGGGTTCCCACGGTACTTGAAAGTTTTGAAATCGTTGAAAAAAAATCAGGGCCCTGAAAAGTCCTTGAATTCTGCCATAGGGTGCTTGAAAAGTACTTGATTTTTTAGGAATTAGAATACTACTAATTTTTCTTACAAAAAAAGTAGTAAAAAATTTATAAATAATTATAAATTATAGAAATTCTGATTGATGCAATTTTAAATGCTTGAAGTGATAAGGGGTTAAAGAAGGTGCAAAACGTTTCTCTTCTAGATTTTTCAGACTCTGATGTTTTGAGAGAAAATTTTTAGCAAATTTGAGGTTTTTTAGTCATAGTTTTCGCATGATATATAGTGTTTAATTGATTTAGAAATATGTTCAATATGTTAACTCCATTATTTCGACAGGTTAATATTGTTATCCTATTTGTTCTTTTAATTTATGTACAAAGAATAATAATTTTTTTTATTATTTATAATCAAATTTTTACATTCAGTTTTTACTGCTAATAAATAAAATATAGTTCACAAACTGATTCTTGATTTGCGGATCGGAATTCATATAAAATGTTCTATGAATTGCGATTTAACTGAAAGTGATTAATGAATCACATATTGAATATTACTTTAAAGTGATTTTCAAATTACTCATCAGAATTCATATTAAGGTATTTTATAAATCGCACATCATGATTCACATTAGTGATTTATCAATCACGCATCATGATTTCAATTAAAGTTATTTCTGAATCATATAACATATTGAAGTAATTTCAGAATCATGCCCCACAATTCTCATTCTAGTAGTTAACAAATCACGCATTGCGATTCACAAAAGAGAGATTTAAGAATTACCACCCACAATTCTCATCAAAATAATTCAAGAATGAATCCCACATAGCTGTTCTATATTAAGCACCTTACGAATCCCAAATTCCATCATAATGATCACTATGTATCTCACATTGTGCTTTATGTCTTGTTAGTTGCGTGCGTTTTGTATCATTTGCTGTTCATATTATTCTGATTTAAGAAGCATACACCGCAATTTAATTTCAATTTACAAATCACTCATTGTAAAACGTGATTTACGCAATCTCAGAGACTTACTTCACCTTTCTTATAATTTTGATTTACATATAGTTTATCCAGATTCGTATAAATGCGATTTAAGAATTATGCTTAGTGAAAATTACGTATATTCACAAAATTTTAAAAATCCTGCTTCACATTTTATGGATATATTTTAAAGAAAATAAAGCTTGGTAAGTCTTTGCTAGTTATCTGTAAAATATTGTTCTACAATAGATTTTATTATGTTCAAAATATATTACTGATATTCTGAAGTAACAAAATAGAAAATTTGATATTGAAACAGATATGTTAAATTGATAATTTATCTAATTCCTGTAACCTAAAATTTGATCTAACATATTAAAAAAAAGTATTTATATTTTAATAACCGCACAATTAAATAAACTTTATCAATTATTTACTATGCTTGTTTGATAGAAACTGAATGAATGTATAATATGCATTATACATTCATTCAGTTTCATTAATTCTAATTCACTTCATTAAATTTTTCATGAAAAGTTTGACTGATGCTAGTTTGTACTGTTGGAGTTTTTTTTTTTTTCCAATTGGAAATTTTTCTAAGTGATTTGAAACAGCAATGTGACTATTAACCATTTGTATTATTAGTTGATAAATTTAATTTAAAAAAAATTTTGTCAAACAAGCATTGTGATTTAAAAATATACAATTTCTGCTTCTACATAATTGTTAAATCTGGTTGACATGTACTTTAGCATTTAACAATAATACCAAATAGGTCCTTGAAAAATTTGAATTTAGGTCCTGGAAAGTCATTGAATTTTTTTTTTAAAAATTGAGTGGGAACCCTTTCATACAACAAAGGAAAAAAAAAAAAGATTTGTTACATTTCAGATGATTTTAATAATTTTATACCATCCTGGTTATTTTGTATTTAAGAAATTTAGATTTGTATCAGTAACCATTGCAAATACAATTATTGTTCTGCAATTCCATTTTAAAGGCGGTCACCTTTCTATGCTTTTTGAAAAAAAATTTCTTCTAGGCATTACTAAGTTTATGCTTTTAACGTATTATTGTTTTTTCTTTTTTATAAATCTGATTTAAACTTATTTTTCATACCACTACTTGTAAATGATTCAAAAGCTTATGTAAAAAACAACTTTAATCCAACTCCCTTTTAGTAAGGCTTTTAAAATGTCGGTAAATTTGACAAAAATTCTGAAAGCTTTAGTTTTTTTAATTGTCCCCTACTCAATAAAATATTTTACAAAAAGCGTAGTAGATGGCTGCCCTGCATCTGGGTGGAAAAGATTCTGTGTATATTTTTTAATGAATAAAAAATGTAAAATTTTTCTTCACAAAATTTTCATCACATCTATTATAAATTAATAATACATTAATTTATTTATAAAAAATTAATAATACATTAATAATTTGGTAAAATCCTAATTAATGGCCAGTTTCCTGTTGAATGAAAAATTTGCAAATTTCTCCCTTAATGAAGAGGTTAATCACCTGTTTAGATTACCGTAAACCGGGGCGAGTCTACCCATTTTTTCAGTTTGTCAACTTTCAAGTGGTCAAACTTTTGCAAATATTAAAGAAAAAAGGCTTTTAATAGGTGTTTCGGAATCGCTATTTATCCCTCTTTAAAGCTGTGAAATCGATTTTAGAAAATATTAACAGTTACGCTGTTACTGTATATTTTTATAGAACTGCTGACAAATCTCTCGTATGGGGCGAGTCTACCCATTCTACTAAAATGAATGTTAACATTGTAAATAATCAAATTTTACTATTAAATTGTTATTTTAGTTACTATATAGGATATTTATGAAGTAAAATTCATAACTTTATTATATATTCCATTTTTTTATTCATAAAATAACACAAATTGAGTATTTGATCGATTATCACATTTTGATCACAGTTTTGTTTTTATAATCATTAACATTATAAAATAACATTTTTTTCTGATTATTGTTGATAAAAATAAATTAAAATTAATATAAATTTACAATTAAATAATTAATAAATAATAATAATTAAAGATTATTAACAAAATCGAAATTCAAACATTGGGAATCATGAAAAATCCTTTTCCCATTCTTTTGGGAGGTAATAATAATTTATAAATAATAATTTATTTAACTTGCATTAAATAAAAAAAGTTAATTTTGTAATATAAAAATTGAAAAAATAGGTAAAATAAACATATTTTATATTTACATTTATATTTAACCTATAAATTTTCTTATTAATGATAAATTTATCAATGCAGAATTAAAGTAATATACTCAAATTCATTTAAAATGACTTAATTTTAATATAAACAAAGTTCTAAATTATATTATTATGCTTTATTAAAACTAAATACGAATGGGTAGACTCGCCCCGCGAATTCTGGCTTTTTGTTTACAACAGCAAAACTTACATTCTTTTTGTTTTTTTTCATATAAAATTAATGTAATCTTAGTCTTAGATAAGTTTATCACTTAACCAAAGTGAAAATAGTAATAATAATAATATACTTACGGAGCACCAACTAAAAGTTTGCTGATTTTCAGTACAAATCTCTCAAAAGACGTTTGAACAGGTCGGTTAAAAAGACACCAAATAAATAAAAACGGATCAAACTACTACAGCGCCATCTTCCTTAGAGTCTGAACTAAGTCCTCCATTGGTAAAAATTTTTTTATTTGCAATTTAAAATAGTGAAAATTAAATAAAACTAAAATGGGTAGACTCGCCCCTGGATGGGTAGACTCGCCCCGGTTTACGGTATATTTTATTCAATGAATATTTTTTTTAAAAATTAATTTACAACAAATAAATTTGCTAGCTATGCATACTTCATTAGATAAATCGAAACAAAGTTAATTCCTACTGCAGATATAAAACTGATCTAATTTACATTTTCAGGAATTTTAAAGATTGCATCAAAAAGAAAGAGTCTATTAAAGAAGTCTTTGAAGATGAAAGCCATCCTGCTGTTAATGGCAAACGATCTATTTTAAGTGATATAGCAAACATAAATGTTGCACCTGTTAAGAAGATAAAAACTGCTGCCGAGACGACGAAACTCATCAAAGTGAAAGTGAACAGCAAAAAAGTCTCGAGAAAAGTTGTGAAAAAAACTAGCCTTTCTAAACAATTTAAATTAATTGCAGATCAGGGGAAAATAACCAGCTATTTTTCCGTCGTATAATTTGTTTGATGTGTTTTAAATGGTTGTATATCTGGGAAGGCTTTACGTAACATTTGAACAAAAAGTTTATACCACCAGATAAAAGAAACTTTGATATAGTCAGCCTGAAAAAAATCAGAAATTCTCTTTCTGAGTTTTTGAGGTCTCCCTAAATATTCAATTGTGTCACATAAATAGTTAATTTAATGCTATTTTTTTTAAATCATTTTTTTTAATAAAGTTATTATATTGCATTTATGTTATTTCATTACTTATTATAAATGTTTGTAGCAGTATGTGTGTGGTGAATTATTAAAAATATGTATGTGATTTTCTTTAATTTTTGGTCAGCAAGAACATTTTTATTGTATATAACAATAAACGAAGCTTTGTATAAAAGAAGTATATAACAATAAGAGAAGTTTTGATATAGTCAGCCTGAAAAAAATCAGAAATTCTCTTTCTGAGTTTTTGTGGTCTCCCAAAATATTCAGTTGTGTCACATAAATAATTAATTTAATGCTATTTTTTTAAATCATTTTTTTTTCATAAAATAATTATATTATTTTGCATCTATGTTATTTCATTACTTATTATAAATGTTTGTAACTGTATGTGTGTGGTGAATTATTAAATATATGTATGTGATTTTCTTTATTTTTTGTTCAGCAAGAACATTTTTATTGTATATAACAATCACTAAAACATAGTAGCTAAGTTCTGATTCTTGATTAAAGAATTCCCTCATTTTCTGAATTGTATTCTTAATTTATTTTTCTTTTATGGAGTTCAGAGCTTTATGTTCCATGGGAATCGGTTATTCCTAATAAACCAAGTTAAATTTTGTTGCAGTTTTTAGCAGGGTAGACATTTAGTCCGGAAGAAACCTTCCAAGACACTGGAATTTTACAGCCAGAATGTGAAGAATTGTTAAAATATCATTTTATTATATTTCAACAATTCTTGACATAGCTTTAAAATTCCAGTGTCCTGGAAGAAATGAAATTGTTAAAATAACTATGATTATGATATTTTAACAATTCTTTATAAAATTAGGTTTTACTATACTCCTTTACATAAAACATTGAAGAATAACAGTTATTTTGATTTAGCTTCTCACTTATTTAAAAATGATTATTATTTCACTTTTTAAAAAATGATTGACTTATTTAAAAATGATTTATTATGTGTGGGGAGAGGAGTTTCAGGGATGACATTTTTCCGATTTTTAGCGGATTTCCGCCTTTTTCGCTTTTGTCTCTCGAATTTTAGACTTTTTATCAAAAACTCCGATTCTCTAAAAGTTTTTTTTTTTTTTTTTTATAAATATTCCGCTTTTTCTGAAAATCTAGGCGTTAAAATAAAAAAAATATTTTTTTCCAATTTTCAAACAAACCAGGCGTTAAAATAAGCAAAAAAAAAATCAAACTATGTAGCTGTCAACCCTTCCGCATTTGTAATAATTTTAGCCATTTTCTCCACTTTTACGTGCAAAACATAGGATTTTCCGCATTTTCGTTATTCAGACGTCGCTGAATTTAAATATCAAATGTTGATTTTCTTACTTACCTGATTTGAAAGTTGTCCATTGCTATTCTTATTCATGCAATTTCAATATCGTACATTGCAATTCTTATTTACGAGGTTTAAAAATCCAATATCGCTATTTGTATTTAGGCGTTTTTAAAATCCTATGAAACGATTCGTATTTACAAGTTTTTAAAATTTTACGTAGAGATTCATATTCATGTGAGTTTAAAATCCTATGTCGTCATTCCTTTATGTGGTTGTAATATCAAACATCAATTTTTGTATTTACACGTGATTCCAAAATAAGACTTTAGATTCGTATTCACGCGATTTAGAAATTATGCATCGTGATTCGTATTTATGCAATCTAAAACTAGGCATTGTGATTTGTATTTTCACATTTTTTAAATACAATATCGAGTTTATATTCATGGGATTTCAAAATCCAAAATCGCTATTTGTATTCACGCAATTTTAAAATCCTTTATTGCATTTCTTATAAGAAGTAAGTTTTTTCCTTGAATGAGTTACTATAAAGGTGGCAGTTGTTCAATCGACGATTATTGGTATATATGGCCAGATCTCTAAAACCTTTAACTTTTGATAATAATGAAAAAAAATAGGCACACTATTTTTACACCTCCAGAATTGTTTGAAAATGTATAAAATATCAGAAACTAATCGTGAACATCGAAAATTTTGATGCCCTTATTATGTTAAATTCAATTAATTAATCCTGAGGTTACGGTTTGACAGAGTTACGATCTGGACAACCTAGAGAATAGATTGAATTCGATTAATGATTCCTGAGATCCGCCCATATAGGCATTACAACATCTTGAAACTGGATGAGAATATGTTATTTATATTTTTGCTACAAATCATGTAATAGTATTAATTTTAAAAAAATGAAATGTTAATGTATGTTCTCAGTAGTTTTGTGTGCTAAACTAGACAGTAATAATTTACTCCTTTGTGACTGAAGAAAAATATAACTTCCAGCTTTATTTTTTCAATTTGTAATTTCACTTTTTACTTAACGCTAAGTGTCGATGTAATTATTCATATATTAATAAATTAGTACACAATTAATTTTATATCAACACATAGTAATTTTTTATTTTAAATCATCTGGAATGCATTATTAAATGATTGCATGCAAATAAGATTTATTCGCGTGAAAATTCAGCTTTTTTGCCTTTTGGCCAATCTCAACCTTCACCTATGAAAACGGATGTCAACATAGAATCGAGTTAACATGTCTTATATACTAGTGAATTGCAATTTTGTAGTGGTAGACACACTTCAGCTCCGTCATCAGAATTATAGCTGTCATAGAATTCGATGATCGGGTACCACTAGTTGATTCATTGCTGTTTTGTGAGAAGACGGGAGAGCTGTGTTATGATTACCATACTTTTGAGAGCTGTATTAAGTTCACGGTCCTGGTTGCGTTGCTCCTGTGTTGCCTTTAGCAGTCGAGTGAATACGCTGTATGTGATCGAGAATGAGTAGCGTGAGCAATGTCAAAGTCTGATGTGGTCCATCCATAGAAGTAGGCGTGTTCATTTCAAGCGAGTTTCTGTCCAGGTCACCAATGTGGGGACAGGAGTTAACGACAATGTCAACCTTCATCTATGAAAAGGTACCCCAACATAGAATAGAGTTAACATGTCTTATATACTTGTGAATTAAATTGTAATTTTGTACTTGTAGACACACTACATTAAATAACTTGGAGATTAACATTATTATTTAAACTAGATTGCAATTATAAACTATTAATTTGGATTTCTTCTAAATCTTCAGAAAATATAGGGTTGAAAGAAACATTTCTTCTGGAGCCGTTTATCAATTGTGGAGGAAACTTTCCATGCCTGGTTTTCAGTGATAATTAATATAATTCATATCCTAATCTTATCTTACATTAGACCACATAAAGTTTGAATGTGCAAAAATGACTTGAGATACAACTTCATTTCATTAAATTTTATTTTAATAAAAGAATAGAAATATATTTTCTGTTATCAACATTATTTACAGCAGTCAAACAAAATTCAATTATTACATAGTACAAAATCACAATTTTTTTTCTAACAGCTCAAACAAAACATTTGAAAATAAAAATTGTACACTTTCCAAATTTGATGTAAAATCTTTTTAACTTCCTTGAATGTTCATAAAATTTGTTGAACTTATGAAAATATTAAGTTGGTAACTAAGTTCCTGCTTTTTTCTGTTTTTTTTTTTTTTAAGGTTTATAGTGTCAACAAATAAGAATGAGATACATTTTTTAGAGCAAAATGTTCACTTTTAAACTTGGCATCTTTCAACTATGTCATCCTCTCTATACACAACACAAATGTCACGAGTAGCTGTCCAACTTTGATTTGCAGTTTTAGAACTTAGATATAGAGTAAAGGCAAAAAGATGGTTTCTCAATACTCATTTTCCTCAATATGGCATTAAATGTTTTGAAAATTAACATAAATTAATTCTAACAAAGATAATAAAAAAAAACATGGATTCTGATAGAACTAAACACCTTTTAATTGATCGAAAACATGCCAAAACATTTAATGCCATGTAGAATGTTTAAACTTAAAAAAAATGTGAACTTACTTTCCAACTTAATATTAACAATTTTCTTTTGTGCAAAAATATTTTGTTGCAGAGGAGAAGATAATGTGGTTTTGTTGAAAAATATGAAATAAACACGTTGACTGACTTTTAATGTTATCTGTAGTGATTTGAGTGTCCACATTAGACCCACTAACGATAATTATTAAAGATGAAATCAGACACATAAATGCAACTTCTCTAAATATGGTTTTTGAAATCTTCAAACTCTTATGTCGAATTAAAATATGGTTATTGCAATTTTCTAATACTTATGTCGAGTTCCATTTCGCACTGAAAAATCATAAAAATGGACAGAAAGATATTGGATTTTCTTAGATTACAGATGTAATAGATCAACACTAGACAATGCTTTTTTTTTTTTTTTAAACCGGTATGTATTGTAAGGATTCAGTTTTCTATTTTTTCTCTATTAAATATTGTAATGACTCAAATGTATCTTTTCTTTTAAACTAGTTAATGCATCTTCAGGAAAGGAATGTTTATTCCCTTTTTCAAATCAAGTCTGATTTGTAGTCATCTTTTTTTTAATGACATCATTATTGTAAGTACATTTTTTACCTCATTTTGTAAATTGATATTTAAGAACTTGCGTACACATTTTATTACAAAATGTGTACATTGCTCACAAAATATTTACAGTCAATCATTTAAAGTGTTCTAAAAATTATTAAAATATTGTACGTTAGTACGTGAAAAACATAAATTTAAATCTTTGGACAAACAAGTTGTATAAGTGACTGCGAAAATTTTTATATTTGCATAATTAGTAGTGTACCTCTGGCTCAAGAACTAAAAAGGAAGAAAAATTACATTATGGGGATTCAACTCTTTGCTCAGCTAATATAAGGCTACATTAATATTCCATGGATTTTAAATTTACATCTGATACAAAAATGTAAAGAAAGGGGCCGTGTAAAAAATCATGATATTTTGTATTTGACTTCATAACCTAGTTAGCACCAAATAATAGCACGTTTTAAGGTGATCATCCAGCAATTCATCTCAGTGCGTTGAAACCTAACAATAAGGATAAAAGTAATTTAGGGTGTGACGTTTTTAATATTTTGAATGGGGGAAAGGAAATGAACGCTTTTATCTAAGCATTTTTTTAAATTTGCATAGGAAAAAATTTATTACATTAGTTTTTTTTTTTTTTTTAAATAAGACTAACTATATAGATCAATGTCTGTTCTTCGTAAGAGGAGTATAAAAAAAGGGAAAATAATCAATGAATCAGTGCTGAACAAAACTGAAAGGCATATACTGACAAAATTAAAGCTAAAATAATTTCAATAAATTTTTTTAACTTATTATTGTTTGTTGCTCTCTGATGGCTCTACATTATTAAACAATGCATTTTTGTAGTTCATCTCATCCCCGCGGCATTGTGCAGAAGGTTAGAGTTCATGCTGAAAGATTTTGCTTTTGAAAAGTAAAAAAAAAATACTTTTCTTTTCTATAGAAATTTACACGTAATATTTGATCCGTGCATTTATATAATCACTTTTTCACCGCTTAATTTACACCGATAGTATCTCGTAAATCGTTGTAATGTTTAGATTGCATTTTAGGTAGTTATTGAAATTGATTTTCACATGTTTTTTAAATTTCTCGATATATTTCTAACAATATGGAAAATTCGAATCGTGTATTTGAGTATTCACTTTTCAAGGCAATGATTCTATCGAATTTTTGGCAGTTATTACTATTGATTTAACCATAGTTTTTAATTCCGATATTTTCTACGCAATATAATTTATTACGAATCGAAACACGCATTTGAGGTGTCCGATTCGCTTGATTTTGCTGTCGATCTTTTTTCGGCAATTACTACTGAGTATTTCATGATTAATGCAGGGTATCTGTGCACCTGGAAAGTCATGAATTTCTGCATTGAAAAAAATTCGTCTTGATTTTAACTAATTTTTTTTAAAAAAAGTCATGGATTTAGGTCACCGAAAAATTTAATTTTTAAAATGGAATTTACCCCCCTCCAAATTTTATGGTTAACTGAAAATCTGAATTTGTTACAAAATCCCCACTCGATCATATTTTATTAAATATAAAATGTTTTTACTATGTTCTTTAAAAATTATGTTCTTTCAAGAAATGAAAGAAAAAACATCATTTCTAGAGCAAATTATGTTTTAAACTTCTGTGATTTCAGAATTTTTGCTATTATTTTTTATTTTATCAACTTAAAATTCTTGCTGAGGCAAGCCAGTCAGTGGCGAATTTTTTTAAAATTCTGAAATGAGAATAGAAAAATCAGGAGTATTTCTTTCCTTTCCGATAAACAAGAAGAGTTTCTTCAGAATATAATTTTGCAGAAAAAAGAAAAAGAAATTGTTTGCTTTTGTATTTTTTTCAACTATTTTATTGCTTCAACTCTTTCTTTACTCTGTTTTTTAAATTTAAAATCTATAAATATGAAGATGCAGAGTATGACCGTTTTGGTTATACCTATCATTTCAATTCACGTTATTATGATGCTTTTTTAAATTTATTGTTGTGTTTTTGTCAGAGAAAATAGTAACTTCGTTAAGTCATGAAAAATTCTTGGAATTAGTCATGGAAAATAATGAATTTGAAAATCTAAAATGTAGCAGATACCCTGTTAATAATTATTTTTATTGTTATGATTATTTACAAAATGCAAAGAAGGAAATAATTTGAGCGTCCCCCCCACCCCTGCAACAAAATGCAAGAATATCACCCATAATATTAGAATAAAAAATATTACATGTTCAATTAAAATAAATTATACAGTTTTTTTATAAACACAGCGCTTTTGTTACAATTATTAAAACAATTGTTTACAATTGTTTTGTTAAAATTATTAAAAGTATATTGCAGAAAGATATTACTGCCAGTTTTGTCGCAGATAGCTCGAAAAAATTCTGCTACAGGGATCTCATCAGAATAAAGATTAGCTTCACTCAGCACCAACTGTCATGATGCTATTACTCGTTTACAACTCCTGATAGTTAAGATACACGACTATCAAGTAAGTCTTCTCTGGAGACCTATCCTTTTCAAGGGGCTGTTAAACACTTATTTTTACAGTATCAGTGCAGTTTTAATAGTTAAGTAAGATATCAATGTAATACTTTTATCAATGGTAACAAACTGAAGCCGGAATTTTGAAAATAAATTTCTGACAAGACATTAATAAGAATTTTAAAGCATGAATATTGGTGGAAAAAGTTATTTTAATTCTGATTTCATTAAAATATAAATGCACTATTTTTGCTACTACTGGAAAAAATATTTTCTGAAACTGAGGAAATTCCTTTGTGAACCAATTACCATAATACCAGTAATACGTATTACCAACATTAATTTAGAGTCAAATGACAATTTTTTTTTTAATTATGCATTTTCAACTTTTTGTACTAATTTTATTTCGATTAATACAGAGCACCAACATTAATCAAGTCTCATAGGCATTAATGTAATATCTTTTTTTTTTTTACAGTTCTGCTAAAACCCTTTACTTTTTTTTTTTAATTAATCTTTATTTTTTTGATCTTTAATTTTGATTTTTAGTGCATAGTCTATTTATTAATAAATTTTATTTTATTTCAGTATGCATCTATTAATTATGCACCGAAATTAATTAAGCATCATTGGAGTCAATAATAGCATGGCTATTATTTACGTTTCTCAAAGACGAACTAGTACCATTTTTTAACTAATTTTGCCTTTTAGTATATAGCTAATTTTTTTTCTCACTTCAATTACCATTAATTTCAAGTTATTTACTATCATGGAAACAAGTTTTAAAATTATTACTATAAACAAAGTAAGCACCAGAAATATCAAGAAAACAGGAAATGTCAGGGAAAATGAGATTCAAAATTGAATTAGCTTAACAGTATAAAGAGTGTAGTTAATAATTTCCATTGCTAAAAAAGTTTTTTTCTCTGTTTTGTTCAATATACCACCATTTTATTTAGCATTATCTAGTTAATGCAATAAGAATGACAATGATAATAATAAGAACAAGCCTAATTTAAGTTTATGATATATAACTTATTTTATCATTTAGTAAGATATAATTTCACTTAAAAACTAAGTTTTTCTATATGTTTCAATTACATGTGAAATATATAATATTTTGCAAAACATGACATATCAAAACAGTATGGATTTCAGTAACCGTGAACATAGTGTTTTAATTTTTATTACACCTACTTAACATAAATCTGCCAGTTGAAAAAGTTACATTTTGAATTTAGAGTAAAAAAATTTCTTCATTCATTTTATGTTTTTAAAAATTTACTTTCTTGCAATGTACATTATGTATTTGATCTTTTCTCCTGTGTACTTTAATCAACAAGAAACCCAGTCACTAATTTATAGTCTCTCTGAATATTATTACAAGAAAATGCAATATTTTGTTCTTAGTAAAAAGGACAAATTATCCACTAAAAAGTCCAGTAAATCTTATGTACAATAATTTGTTTTCAGGATCATCATTCTTCATCTGAGCATCTAAAAAAGAAAAGGACAATATAAAGAATGACTATAATTTAAGTCCAGTTTTCAAATGCTGTAAAAAAAATATTCATGAAGAAAGAGACTGTATAAAAAATAGTTCCAAAATTTTGGCTCTATTAAGTCAGGCTACCAGTTAAACAAAAAGAAAAGGTAATATCGAAATCAGCTTTTCAACCCTTAATGGTATAAGGTAGCCGTATAAGTGGCATAGAGCTGTGATGGCTCAGGGGATAGAGCATTCGCATTCCAATGAGGGTTCGAATTCCAGCGATGGCTGGTCAATATGAATTCCGCATCTGGCTTGCACACTATGCTCTCAGTAATAGATGAATTATGACTTAAGAGTCCCCTTGCATTTAGGCTAACCGCAGGAGGTTTTTGTGGTTTTCTTCAGGTAAAAGAACCGATATCTTCGAAAAAATAATGGTCTTCTATGGCGCTTAGAATAGTTAGTCTGGGTAGTCCAGAAAGTAACTTTGGTGCTTTAAATAGGTATTGAACTTAATTTTTTAATTCTGTTCGAAACTAACCAAAGGACTGATGTAAAATATCCTCAGTGGTAGACGGGTCATGGGTTAGAATCCTCTTGCCATCAAGCTAACCGCGGGAGGTTTCCGTGGTCTTCCTCTCCATGTAACGCAAATACCGGTTACCTCCATTTAAAAAATCTTCCACGAAGGCAAATTTCTCTCAATACGTATTGGGTTCAAAATTGCAAGGCTACAGAGTTGAACATTAGCAGTCGTAAACCCAAAAAATTGGGTTGACTGTTTAACGACGGTTATAAAATAAAATATAAGCGACATAGCACTTTAATTTGCTGGCTCAAATACTGCACATATGAGTGCTTAAACTCATTTTATTATTTTTAACACACTTGTTGTATTAATTGCAAATAGTAATCAGTATTATAATTAATCCTTATAATCAGACCAGGTAGAATGTAAATTTGAAATATTTCATCTGTTAAGGTGTATGCTTTATGTAATTACCTGCTGCATTATGTAATTGGTATAAAGTAAAAAAAAAAGTCAATGATATCATCTCAAGGAACATTAAGAACTCTACCCTTTCATTTACTGCGAAACTCTGTTAGGTCACCTCGCATCATTCATAAAAACATTACATGTATTGACCTAAACTTCTGGAAGAGTTTATACAAAATCATCAAAAACTCTATTGATCTTGCAGCTATGCCATATTTTTCAAATATTTGGAAATCTTAGATTTGTTCAATTCCTGTCAATTTATATTCTTACTTTTATTTTTTTTAGTGTGAAGAAGCCTCTATTGAATTACATCATCCATGTTTTGTCCTCCCTGCTGTTTATCTTACTGGTGAAGGTATGCTAATGTGACACAGAGAAATATGTAGGTATTAATCAAAATTTTTTTATTTGTGACTTAACCCTCCACGTGTGGCTCTCGCGATTTGAGTGGGGTATCAGTTTTGTCCCAAACTACAGGTTATGTGAAATCGCGGGCGAAGAATTCCCCCCCCCCCCGCTCCCTTGTTTCAATACTTATTCCACTTTTTCCCTGTGTAGGTTAAAAAACATCATTTGATGCTTATTTTCGCTGCTAGGTTGCACAAGAGGGTTACGTAATTTTTTTTTCTTGCTTGATTTCCCCCCACGTATTTGTGAGTTTGCATGCTTTTTGTTTTCATCCGCGCAATAAGTATTTATGAAAGATATGGATTTGCCGAATGTTAGCAGCATTATGTGTGGAAATAACAAACTAAAATATCTTGATTATGAAGATAGTAATTTGAAGTATTCCATAAATCTGGGCTTTTATTGAAATTTTTCTGTTTTATTGCATGAATTTTTTCACTTATAAACATGCCCACTGAAGTAGCGGACACTGTATTATATATTTTTTGAAAATGTGAAAGCTATTAAAATTCTTGTATTATTTTAAAACAACGAGTGAGGATGGGAATTGTAACATTTGAAGATAAAGAATATATAAAACAAATCGCCCCTTATTTCAGCACAGGGAAGTATAAAAACTGAGCCGTACGCAGAGGGTTAAATGGCGCTTTTTTGATATCCTTTGCAGCAAAATAACTTGGTCTCTCATTGGACCAATATTCAATAATTTTGTCTCAATAAAGTTTCAAAGCATTGTTATTTTTCCCCCCAATATTGGCCCTATATAGGATTGTCCAATTCACCCGATAATTTACATAACCAATATTGACTGTATACAGAATTGTCAGGTTCACCTTATATTTTATATTCATTTATGGGCTCTACATTGGCTCCATAAAGGCCGATATTGGCCCTGTATAAGGAAAATATTAAAAAAATCTAGCCATCCCAATATTGGTTCAATGGTACATGTTTATATAGGACTCATATTGAGCCCAGAGACAAGGTGTTGGGCTCAATATGGATCTTATATGAACATGCACTGAGGGACCAGTATTGGAATGTGTAGATTTTTTAATATTATTCCTGTATAAAGCCAATATTGGCTTATATATGCACAATATAGGACCTATATTGGCCGAATAATAAATATAAAATGTCAGGTGAATCTGACAACTGTATATAGGGCTATTATTGGTTGTAAAGTGGCAGTAAAATATCGGAATTATTGGGAAATAACGGCCCTTTTAAACTCTTATTGAGCCCAAGATTCGTCCAATGAGGATCCAAATTATTTTGTTGCTAGGGGGATTAGAGATGATATAAAGAGCATATTGTACATTGTCTTCAATTCAGCTGAGTTTGTTTACACTGTAAACAGTTTTTAAATTACCCAAAATTCACAAGCATGAATGATTTAAGCTGCTTGAAAGTTATGATAGCTTGCTCTAATATGTATGATTAATTAAATCTTGTGCAGCTGCTTCAATTTTCTAGGTAATTATGCTATCATTATGTTTAGTGTATATTTAGTGTTTATCATTGACAGTACAGGTAAAAGAAGAGGTATCTTCTAAAACTACAATGGTCCTCTATAGTGATTATAATAGCATAGCTACCAACTCTACTGAAATTTCCAGTAAACTACTGGATTTTGTACATTTTAGAAAATTCTCTAAAATTGAGTAAGTTTCCTAAAAAACTCCCTATTGAAATAGAATTTTCGTACAGATTATTGCTTGAATATTTAAATAAGTGTTACAAATACATAATGAAACGAACCTTATTTATAGAAATCAGCTTAAAATTTTTTTTTTCAGTTCTAAATTCTTCACTGTTCAGTTTATTTTATTCAGAGATCTCTTTTTAAATTAATATTAAAAAAATCTTTTAACTACCTTTGATGAATTAAATACCTATTACTATTCGAAAATATGAGTAAACATATTACATAGGAACAGTTCAAGTATGGAAAATATTACAGTTTTTCTATTTTGATCATTATAATTACCTATGGGTCAAATATTCAGGACTTTATGTAACAATTATCAGGAAATTTATATTTCATAAAATCTATTGAATTTTTTTTTATTCATGTTGGTAGCTATGGAATAGTTATAATGGGTAGTCAAGAAAGTAATTTTAGTGAGGTATCAAACTTAAAATTTATTACACAAAATGAACTCTAATCAGTCATATATTTTTTAATTCTGTTTGATTCCACGGGGCTGATGAAAATATCCTCAGTGGTAGACGGATCATAGGTTAGGACCCTTTGCTATCAGGCTAACCGAGGAGGTTTTCCTCTATATGTAATGCAAATGCGGGTGAGTTCCATCCAAGTCTTCCACGAAGGCAAATTTCCAATACTTTGATCCAAGAGTTCCCTTGCCTCCTGAATTGGGTTCAAAATTATAAGGCTACAGAGTTGAATAATAGTAGTCTGCTATTGGGTCAGCTGTTCAACAACGATTATAATATCATTATGAGTAGGCCGGAAATGATATGATATATGGTATGCAGCAGTTAGCATTAACAATACTGGTAAAGGAACCAATATCTTCTAAAAAAACAACGGTCCTTGGTTTCACCTTACTGTAAGGCGAACGCTCTATCCCCTGAGCAACCATGGTTCATGTAAGAATAATTTTATTTCATAAATCTTGCTGAACAGCCGATCCAACTTTTGGGTTTGTGACTACTAATGTTCAACTACATGGCATAGTAATTTTGAACCTAATCCAGAAACAAGGGAGCTCCTGGATCAAGTATTGGAGAAATTTGCCTTCTCAGAGGACTTTTTGATGAAACCAACCCACATTTGCACTACATTGAGAGGAAGAGAAAGAAAACCTCCCACGGTTAGTCTGATGGCAAAGGGACTCTAACCCATGATCTGTCTACCACTGAGGATCTTTCACATCAACACTGTGGTCAGTGCAAGCCGGATGCAGATGCGTATCTACCTACCATTGCTGGGATTCGAGCAACTGTTTACCTCGAAGAAAGAAATCAGCTTCAATTTTCCATGAAATGTTTCATGACTATTCGTTATTACTTTTCATGTGAGGAACAATTTATCTCAATGTAATTCAAACATATAAAATATCTGTTCAAAATATTTAGTGACTTATCTCCGGAAAGATTTTATTGAGAATCGGTATGAACACAGATTGATATGAATAAAGCAATTATTCAACAGTTATAATATACAATTATAGGCATAACTCATCAGTGTGAAAAGGAATGAAATTGAAACTGTCTAATTAAACGTAAAATGGACATGCTATAGTGTTTTGGTTCTATAAACAAGAATCTCTTTTAATGTCAAAACATCAAAATAACAGGGCAACCCTAGGGTGTCAGATGTGAAAATTTCCAAACATTAGGAATGAAATATCATTAGCCAATTTACTAGAATAATTCCCAGAAATTGAAATCGGTAGATGGAGAATAGTGTTAATGATTTTAGCAGAAGAAAACGGAATCCAATGATTAGAACGATGGATCCTGATTTTGGACATAACCAAATAAAAACAAAAAAATCTTTTACAATTGTTTCTGTTAATGGTGCTCTTAATATCCTTAAAATGATATTACAAGAATATCTTGTACTTACCTTATCTTTTCTTTCTCCGACATCAAAGACCGCCAAACATTGTTCAAAATTTTTCTGGAAGTTAAAAAAAGAATGTTTTTTAATATACATTGATTTAAAACACTAAAATAGATTTTATAAAAATTTATAATGGGGTTTTGAATTATTTTATTAAGATAATTTTAGAGTTAAAAATAATTCTTTACCCAAACTCACAAATTTTTTTCTCAACTACTTTTAAAAGAGATTTTTAAAAATCAATGCGTTGTAACAGTGTTTTTCATTTTTATTCTCCTGTGACTAGATAATTAATATTTTAACTTTTACATAACTGCCAACATGGATAAGAAAAAAAATCCAGTAGATTTTACAAAATAATATAAATTTTTTGATAATTGTTTCATAATGTACTAAATATTTTTCACATAAGGAAATTTAGGGATTTTTACAGTCATCAAAATAGAAAAACTGAAATATTTTCCAGTTGTGATTGATATTAAATCAACTTGAGATGTCATGTATTATGTTTACACATTTTAAATAATAATAAGCATTTAAGATATTTAAAAGATTTCTGAATGAAAATAAACTGATTTTTAAAAATGAAGCTCTCTTCATTATGTATTAGTAATACTTATTTAAATATTCAAGCATACTTCGCTTATTCTAACTGGACTATTGCTCTAATTTTATATCTGTTTAATGTGCCTACAACTTGTGACTTGGTACACAATTATATGTTGTTGAATAAATACATGTTGCTATTTTAAAATAATAATTCCAGTATTAATTTTCATTTACTTTCTTTACAAGTAAAAGAAAAGTCATTAAACAAAGTTCTTTATAACTCTAACACAAATCATAAGTTGAAGAGTACTATAGTTTGTCTAAAGTAAGAACTCCCCTAGCCATTCATCTGAACCCATGGCAGTGACTATGGCAAAGAGGTATAACTATTTCATGTAGGGGTGTGAGGGTTATTGTTTAGGATAGGTTTTGGCTCAGGTCAGGGAGAGAAAGGGAATATTTTTCTTCCGTCTATTTTGTTAACCCTAGAGTGAAGAGGAGCTAGCTTTCCTGAAATGCATTATTCTTGTTTCCATAGCAGCAGACGACCTCAGGCTTTGAGGCGGGAGAGTTCTTACTGTAGACAAACTATACTCTCAACATAACAAACTTCTATATCTCGAAAACTTTGATCAGTAGACGCACATGCAGACTCGCAAGAATTTCATTAAACCTGTAAAATGATAGGTGCTTTCATGCGTTATGTACCGACGGAAAGCTCAAATGGAATGTGGTTGAATGAATTGTGATAATGTTGAATAGAACAACGTGGCAAAAATTAAAATGGTAAAGAAAAGAATCTCATTTTCGAAAAGGGAAAATTAAGCACTTTTTAAAAACTTCTAAGGAAAAATGCATCTTTAAGTGCTTTTAAAAAAAAAATAAAAAAAAAAATTAACTCTTTTTAAAAACGCTATGCACCATGGATATTACAACACATTTTCACTCATTTTATGATGGTCTATGTTAAATTTTGGTAGCCCTGGAGTAACTATTAATTACGACAGTAAATATTTATAAGGTAAAAAAAGTCAAAAAGGAGTTACCTATCAGGAACTATGATATCAACAACATTTTCTTTGTGCAAATAATTTGAACTTTCTGAGTTTTGATATGTAGGCTCCTCTAAAGAAACATTTTCCTTATTGGAGGACTCATCATTTTGATTGATGTCAGAGGATGGGTCACACAAGGAAGATGCAGAGACAGCCTTGTCGACCATCTGCTGCTTCTTTGCGTACAACGAAAGATGTTGGGTGGTGTGACAATCAAAGAATGGACACCTTAAAAGAAAATTTGTTTATAAATTTTTAGAAGAAAAATTACAAATATACGGTCAAACCTCAATTTAACGTACTTTGATTTAATGAATTCTCCGATTTAACGAACATATTTTCTGTTATGACAAAAAGGGTGCTAAAATGCTCTCATTTAACGAATTTTTAGCTTTGATTTAACAAGCAAGAATTGATGGGGAAAAATACGCACATAAAAGTAAAACTTAATTTTTTGCACTTAAAATCTTGAATATTTCACACCTTAATCCAAATGTGTAATGTTTTTTTAAAAAATATTTTCACACTTCTAGTTTGAAAACTAGATTTGTTTAAAAATTGATTTCGATTTTGATATCAATAAAAGTAAACATGAAATGAAATATTTCAATTAGATACTCCATTATATTAATATTTTTTCTGATGAAAACAACGAACTGAAACATATTAAAAGTGTGTAATTGTATGTATGTATTAAATTTTAAAACCAAGTAGATGTAAAGAATTAATATCATTTTAAAGTTTATTTCCTAATGTATAACTCATAATTTTTAAGCTCGTTGTAAACAATAATCACTTTTTTTTTTCATATCTGAATATCTGAGGGTATTTTGTATTGATATTTTTATACCATACTCTTTACCAAAAATTTATATTCGATTTTACAAATGGATTTGTCTGTCCCAATCAATTCGTTAAATCGATGACCAACTGTAAACCAATGAAAAAATATCCTAAAAATAAAGAAAACATTGAAGAAAGAAAACCTAAAAAAAGGGTTTTAAAAAAATTAATACAGTAATCATCTCAATTATTAATGGGTAAATTATCTACTTAGCAATTGGCCATCGTCTGAAACTAGAACAAATTCGTGCGTTCCATGGAAAATCTTTATTACTGTTTTGTTTGCAGTAGATTTTGGCCTGAGATATTTTGTCCTTGTAAGATTTTGTAGAACTGGGTGCCCGGTGCTTACATATTTTGGATTAGTACATTTTGCTTAAAAATGATATTGTACAAAACAATTTTGCAAGTAAAGAATTGATTTAACTCTATAAAACACTCACAGGTGATATTTGTTTTACTTTCTTGAGGTCTGTCTGCGGATTTTAGTTATTAGCGGTTATATAATTACTTAATTCTGGAGAAAACTAATAGTCTATTATAAATTAAATTTTTAAAAAAAGAAAAACAATCTAATATGATGATCTGCCTAGTTCAAATTTTATTTCATATATTAGTAAATAATTATCTCTACTAAATTAAAATAATTATTGCAAATTATAAAAATATTTAAGTACACTTAATTTAGATTTCAATGTATATCATTTAATATCCATTATTTAACTTTTGCAGTTGATGAAATTTTTAGAATTCAAAAGTTCATGCAAGTGCTGATAAAATCTCCAAACCTTTTTATGTGATAAAAAATTTATATGCAATTACAAGAGAGCATTTTTTAAATACATTTTTAATGATAACTTTTAAATATGTGGCAATCTGTTATAGGTATTTATCTTTATTCTCAAAAGTTATAAATTTAAAAACTAATACATTCAGTACCCAATTTAACGAACACGTAATTATCAAATTTTAAAATGTAAAGAAATTTTCCTTTTTGAACTGATGTTGAAAAATCCCTATTCAAAGAATAATAAATCCCAAATTAATAAATTATTTTGAACAGTAAAAAAAATATTAGATTATTTTTCAAGTGACTTAAATATACATATTGTTATATCAGCTTCCTTGAATAGCCTATATAGCTCATAACTATGACGTTGTATCCATAAGCCATCCACATTTATAAGCACAGAAAATTTTTCTAAAGGCTTTTCTCTAAAAAACAACAAGCAGGTCTGCTTGTGATTTAGTTAGAGACCATGTTTAAAGTCCATAAGTCAAGACAGGTCTAATGGTTGTGTTGTATAGCATTATTTTTGTTTGTCTCATTATTAATTTTGACTTTAGAAATGTTCTTAAGGCATCGATTAGCTGCTATAAACATTATTCAGAAAATGCAATTAACAGTAAATAAAATAATTTCAAGTAAAATAATTCAGTAAATAAAATATTTTAATATTAACTAGTGCATATTTGTATGCAGCAATTTTTAGTTTCAGAACAAAAAAAATTTCATTTCTAACAATGAATATTTGTGCATAGTTGCTTATTACAGTAAGTGAAAAAAATTTATGTTTTGATTCCCCATAATATGAATAACTCCAACTTAAGGAATAAAATTTTCAGCTCTAGTGAATTCATCAAATTAATGTATTATGAACCATAAATGTATCATAATAACCAAATTAATGTATATGAACCATAAATGTTCATAATACATCATAAATGTATTATGAACCATCCAAATAAATAAGATTTCTTTAAACCTAAACATGAATGTAAATTTACAAAAGGAAATTTTTTTTCACATGTTCGAAAAGTGTAAAAGGCAGCAACCCTGTGGCGACACGGTGACATTTTCGTAGAACAATAACAAATTCTTGCAGAAAGATTTTTCCTGTACAAAGCAAAAAATTTTGGTTTTCTTTTCTATAAAAATTTTCAAAATATTTTATCATTTCTTCAGAATTATATTCAAAAGATGCCTTTCTTGCGCATTTGAGTGGGGAAAAAAATGCTTCTGATTTTTCTATTCTCATTTGAGAATAATAAAGAATAATTAGGTAAAAAAAATTTTCTTTTCGGCTGAATTCTATTTTTTATGCAGATTATTATTCATTTTCACATAGTTTTTAAAATCCAATATTTTTAATACGATAATATTTATTACAACAACAGAATCTGAAAACATGCATTAAGTAACCCCTTTTTAAAGAGTCCGGTTTGCGTGATTTCACTGTCGTTCTTTTTTTCGGTAATTATAGCTACGGATTTCACAATTTATTATTATTTTTTTTTAATGTGGTGATGATATACAAAATGCGAAAAAGGAAATAATTAGTGTGTGTTTTCCTCCTACAAAATGCGAGAATATTGCCCATATTAGAATAAAAAAATATTACATATTTAAATAAAAAAATGATTTTATCCAAAAAAGTTTTTTTTTTAAGTCGACGCTACTGTTACTTTAAATTAGTAACATGTGTATTTGTTATTATTGAAAGTATCCAGCAGAAAGACACTAGTACTGGAGAGGTATGTCGCAGAAGGCCCGAAAAAATTATGCCACAGGGGGCAGCAAAGCGTTATAGAACACTAACTAATGGAATATCATCAAAATTAAAATATTTCTAAAACAAGATGTACAAAACTGCAAGATTACTCATATGTTGGGTTGTTTTCATCGTTGCCCCATTCTTCGTCAGGGGCGACAAATATGACTTCAAGAGTAATTTTTCCATGCTGTCAAAAGGAAAAAAGAATTTTGAATAAGATTAAATCAATATTCTTACTATTCAGCTTTATTATAACAGTCTGAAAAAAAATGATACATTGAAAGAGAAAGAATGAACAAAATGTAGAACTTCTATAAGAAAGGTTTATTTGTATATTAAGCTATACTTTTAATTTTTATTTAACTTAGTTTTTGCAATTAAGTGTCATAAAATAGGATAGAGAAAATTTTCTTGGAGAGGAACATACTTTCAGATGTTCCTTTTTTCATGATGAATTTTCTTTTCTTTCTTTAAGTACATTTGGTGGTATACAAAAAAATAAATGTGTTTGATTAAGAAAATCTAATTTAAAGCTCATAGAAGAATGTATCACTAATTTCATTAAAATAATAAGAATTGAAGAGGATAGATAAAGAATTAAATATAACAATAAATGTAATACAAACATACTAAAAATACATTTAATTCAATAAGTACAAGATTTTCATACTAAAATCAAATTCACTAATATGAATTAAATATAAATTTTCAATTTTTCAACTACTTGATATAAATATTGGCACATTATATTTTATTGTTGGTATATAATTATTATTTCCTTCAAAGCTAAATTTAGATGTATATAAAACAAACATTTACACACATTCATACAAATAAATGATTACTCAATTACAATATATAATATTAATGTAATAAGGATTACCTTAATTACACTGTATAATCAGTAGACATAATTATATTTACTATGAAATGTACTGCATATTACAAATGTGTAGTTAGACATAAGTTGATTTCGTGTCATTGAGTCATTGCAAAATTAATTTTATCATATAATTTACATCTTTAAAAAAAATGCTTAGAGATAACTTTATGTTCAAGTCTTACTTCAACAACAATAAATAGCTATTTACTCTTACTCTTAATATTTCAAAATCAAAATACTACCATACTCACTATCTTCTGTACATTCATTGCTTGTTAGTCCAGGAGTCGATTACTGAAAATAAATTCTTTCCTTTTGACTATAGAACAAAAAAAAAAATTACTGAAAAAGAATGATATAAGCAATTCTTTTTCTATTATGCAGTTCTCAATTAGAGTCCAAAATTACAGAGTTAAGACGTTCCATTCAAAGTCAGATTTTCTTCTTTCAAACAGATTATGGAGTTGCAAACATCCTTTTTTTGTTAACAAGTTTAGTAAAAGAATCTGCAAGGTTTCTCTTGTTTTGTACATATTGCTCCAATTGGTACTGCAGAAAATTTTAAACAGTTGGCCCGAGATAATATTAAGAAAAAATTGTGACATAGTATACAAAAAATTATAACAAAAGTTTCAAGCATTCATAAATGAACAATAGCAGTAAATAACAATATTACTTGGTTGGAAAGAATTTGTGCTGCTTCGTTGTGCCTCTTGTCAGTTAGATCAATTCCATTGACTGAAAGAATTGCATCTCCGACAAACAATTGACCATTCCTCCAGGCAGGCATGTTAGGATGAATTTCAGATATCACAATAGGTACCGCATGTTCTTTTCCACCCTTAAAAATATTTAATTGCACAAATAATCTATCTGAACAAACAGTAAACATGTGATATTAATATTCATAAAAAAAAATTTCAAATTTAATATTGAGTTGCCACTCAAATCTGGAAGAAAAAAAATTCCCAGTGTTTCATAATTACTGTGCTCCTGTGTCAGCTATATTGGGTTGACTATATATATTTTAACTGCTGGAAAAACTTAGAGAAAAAAAAACAAAAGCTGAATAATGATATAGTAAAGGAAATAGTTTAGTATAGTTGGAATATTATCTTTAAACATCTCATAAATTATGCATTAAGAGGCCACCATTTTTTAAAAGACAAAAATAAGAAACAAAATTCCCTGTATTTTCCGTTTGTAAAGAAAAAAAAATCAAAATTCTCTGCATTCTCCCTGTTATTTTAGGTGATTTTTAAATTCCCTGTATTTTCTTTGTTCTCCCTGTGGAGTGGCAACCCTGTTACATTTATAATAGTTAATCGTTTATAATAGTGATTATAATAGCTGGATTTTAAGATTAATTAAAATAAACATTGTTAAAATTTATTCAAAATTGTTATTTTATGATAAATCTAGTTCCAATTCGATTTTACTTACTTTTTTCATAAGAAAAAAATGGATTTAACAAGTTACTTATAACTTATCCATGCTTAAAAAATAATTTTCTCTACAAATATTTATATCATAATATTCAAACCATATCATCATATTCATTAATTCACAACACTGTTCATACCCATTTCCTGTCGTTCATTCTAATTTTGAGTTTTCAGAATAAATAATAACACATAGACATACAACAGAAGACATTTGTAGTGCAAATCTTGAAACAAGGGTCTTGGAATTTTGCATTACATTCATTTCACTTATTTTTAAATTTACCTACAAAATACGGCAGCAATATTAGCCTGGAACAAATCAATCAGAAAATGCTTTAAAATACTTTTTACTCACAAGTTATTAAAAACACAAAAACATACAATTATAAGTATTTACAGAATTTTTTTTTTTTAATTTTCTACAGCATTAAAACAGATAAACAAATTTGACAGTTTTGATTTACTTAGCTTTTAAAATTGTAACCTCTAAACAAATAATGAAAGAAAAAAAAAACAGAAAATTCTTAACTGCAATTTTCCTTGTTTACACCTGCAAAGTTTATGGTTTATGAAGAATTGTAGTTTATAGATTTGTGTTATATAAGGGCTGCCACTCAAATCTGGAGGGTAAAAAATTCCCTGTATATTCCAAATACGTATTATACACAATGTATTAAGAGGAAACAACAATTAATGTGTTCCTGTGTGAGCTATATTGGGCTAACTATACTAGTTTTAATTGCTGGAAAAGCTTAGAGTAAAAAGGTACAGCTGAACATACTTAAATAATGCTATTATGCCTACTTAAATAATGCCAGGCTAGCCTGGTTGATAGGACACTGCAGGGCTGGATTACCCATTAGGTCAGAATAGGCCATGGCCTAGGGGCCCCCTTAATATGCATTTTTTGAATATAAATTTTAAAAAATTAAGAAAAACAATGATTTTTTCAAAATGTTATGATTATTTTTTAGTTCTTATTTAATAAAGTAAAATTTAATTTATTATTATTTATTTTTATTTTAAATATGCTTTGTTCAATGAAAGGATATATAAATACTTTTATAGTTGAATAAATAAAAAATTTAATCGAAGGGCCCCAAAAATTTTAATGGCCCTGCGTATGTTTAATCTGGCTCTGGGACACTGGGCCCCATGTCAAAGAGGTCGCAAAGATTTTGTGACTGATGCAGTCACAAAATCTGTGCAGTCACAAAGTCCTTCATGTTCCCATAACAAATCATACCTCTGGAGGAACTGATCCCTTAGTTTCTTTGTCTTCTGGATTGGTTCAAAATTACAAGGGTACGAGTTGAACATTAGTAGTCGCAAACCCAAAATTGGGTCCGCTGTTCAATGATGATTATAAAATAAAAAATAATGAAATAGTTTAGTATAGCTGAAATATCTTCCTTGAATATCCCGTACATTGCCCTTTGAATGGTCACCATTCTTTAATAGACGAAAATAAAAAATAAAATTCCCCGTATTTTCCCAGTTTGTAAAGAAAAACTCTAAATTCCCTGCATTTTCCCAGCTATTTTAGGGGATTTTTAAATTCCCTGTATTTTCTTGGTTTTCCTTGTGGAGTGGCAACCCTGTATATGGATCTTCTACTGTATTTTAAAGCACTTCCAAGAAATTAAGATTAACATTAAAAAAATATGTTTTTAAGCAAAAAATAGATAAAATTTGAATAGATAATAGAACAGTAAAACGTACAGTGATTGATATACCTAAACCTTCATTTTCCCCCTTTTCTAAAGTTATGAGTCTGATCTCTCCAACTCCTTGTGATTTCCTTAATGAGTTAAAATCCTGAATGGGGTAAAAAAGAAATTGTTACGATTGATAAATGTAAATTAAAATACATAATATGAGAATAAACATATGTAGCATACATGAGTAAATAAACATGAATCTATTTCATATTTTTTTTGTTGTTAATCTTTTAAAAACAGTTCTAAAATGAAAAAAAAAATCATGCTACTATTAAGCTACATTAAAAAATTGACATTTAATCTTCAGAATCAATTTAAAATTCAATTTGATATTCTGTCAATGAAACCAAGAGAATTTATTCTTAACCCCACTACCTCAAATTTTCAGGAAAATTTTAAAAATTAAAACATTGACAATAATTTTAAAACATTTTTTTCACTTGATTGGTTAATAATTTAAGGTTAGTAATTAGGACATTTGGGTACATTAAGTTATTAATTTTTAGAATTTGTAAAAATTTGTAAACATAATTTAAAAACAACATCAGTGATAATTTCTAACTTATAGCTCTATTTGAAAAAAAAAATTGTTTATTGTGCATATTTAAGTATTTTATATTCGCTGTGTCAGATAAATTGAATAAGGAACATTAAGTTTGAGCATGTGTGGTCCACATCACCAAATGTATACTTTTATAGTTATCTGATACCACGCACCATTTTTTTTCCATTCCCTACAATTAGTTCACACTCTCCCTATATATATTTATATATCTTGTTCAAATTTTACAATCGTTAATAAAATACTTTTTTTTCATCCCCTCAAGTTCAACTACATTTTTTTTAAGCTTGTAGTGAATGACACTTGATGTTAATACAGTTTTTTTTCAAATATTAATTCATTCATTAAATTTAATTAATTAATTTTAATTATTTAATAAAATTTTCTTTGTTGACCTAAGTAGGAATTTATTTTTACTTGTTTAATATTTAGGAGAGTTGAATAATAACGTTTGAGAATGAATAAATAGAATTACATGGGCAGGCGGAGAAAGACATCCAAATCCTCTCTGAGCCTGACAGGCTCTGATGACTGTTTTGTGACGATGAAGGTGTATCTCAGCTTCTAATTGTTCCCATAGTCTGTTGTGGTCTTCAGACTTTAAGTCTTTGCCCAGTAGTTGAATTTGTTGGATTCTACAAGCAAAACACATAATTAGCGTTAAGAAGAAAGAAAAAAAACAATGAATCTGAGGGTATATAATTATCGAATACGTCAACCTTCATCTATCAAAAGGTATCTCAAGAAAGAATCAAGTTAACTTGTGTTATATACTAGTGAATTAGTATTTATTATAGTGGTAGTTACGCTACAAATCTTTAGTGGTTTAATAAGTTTCTAACATGAAAATAAATAAATAAACGGTATTAGAATTAGTGATGGCATGAGGCACAGTTGGGTCATAACTTGAGTTGCTGTAAACATTGAGCGTGCAACAAATGTACATCATGCTTTTTAATATTCTTAGTTTCATACAACATTTTTAGCTTACTGTGTATGATCAAATGAAATTGAGTGAGTTAACCTTAAATACAATAGGATGATAATATTACATAGAAAACATTTTGTAGTATGTTAATTATTAACTCAGGAGAGCAGAATATGTCCGATCGCGTGAACGAGGATTAAAGGAAATCTAGAAATTCCAAGCAAAATTTTCAACAACAACTAAATTAACATCAACAAAATTCTGCCTTTAATGAAGCTTATTAAATTAATAAATTTTTATAACTTGTTACCTTCCAGCTAGTTCTTTTTCTAGATATTTTGCAGCTAATCTTGATCCAAACAATTCACTCTGCAGAGCAACATTGCAAAGCTTGACGATTTCATTTTCGTTTTTAAGTTGTTCAATATGAGATTCTGTTAGAGATTCTTTATACACTTTAGTACGGTAAGACTCCATTTCTGATTCCTAAATACAATATCAACACATCAATAAAAAACAGGGTTTTTTTAAAAATATTTTAACAAACCATTTTGTTTTTAAAAAGTAGACACAAAATTATTTAAGTCAATAAATTAAAAATGTAAAGAAGATTATAAAATTTTCAACCTCTTCACAAAATTGCAAAAATAACTACTAATAAATTTTAAAATAATGATAGTAAATGGAGCAAATACAATTTGGAACATGTAACTAAAATACATTTAATATAAGAGGTAACAACCTAAGTTTATTCTTGTGAAGCAAAAAAGAAATATTTTTTATTCGACTTCAAGTTGCATGTTTTGCAATATTATCAACAACAAAAAATAAATGTACTTATTTCCCTACACAAATTTCATTTATGAAATAATTTGACAATTTAAGGAATGAAATAATTTGCCAATTAAATGAATGAAATAATTTGACATTTTAATGAATGAAATAATTTGACAATTTAATTTTGAAATAATTTAATGAATGAAATAATTTGACAATTACGTTCTGAAACATGTAACTAAAATAAATTTAAAATAAGAGGTAACAACAGAAGATTTTTCTTGTGAAACAAAAGAGAAAAATATTTCATGCAACTTCAAGTTACACGTTTTGTAATATTATCAAAAAAATTTACTTTTCCCTATACAAATTTCATTTATGAAATAATTTTAATGCTTTACCTTAAATGAGCATTGATATGCATGAACAGGTAATCACTCTGAATGCTAAGCAATTTTATATTGCTTGTTTTCATTACAACATGATACTGCATTCTCTGTGCATTATTACCCCCAGTTAAAATACTGTGGCTTCAGAAGCATTATAGCTAAAAGCATTTTTAACAAAATATTATTATATTAATTATCCCAATTTATTGTTAATGCCCTTAAAATTTTTGTATACGTCACCACCTACTTATGGAACTAACCATAGTTTGTCTATGGTAAGAACTTCCTCAGCGACGAAGTCTGAGGCCGTCAACTACTATGGAAACAAGAATAGCGCATTTAAGGGAGGCTATAGTTTGTCTAAAATAAGAACTCCCCTAGCCAGTCGTCTGGCCCCTTGCCGGTGACTATGGTAGCAAAGTATAACTACTTCAAGTAGAGGTCGGCGAAAAAAAGGGAATCTTTTTCTTCGGTCTATCGTGTTAGTACTAGAGCGAAGAGAAACTACCCTCCCTGAAATGCGCTATTCTTGTTTCCATAGCAGCAGACAGCCTCAGGCTTTGTGGCAGAGGGAGTTCTTACCGTAGACAAACTATAGCTTCTTTTCATTCTACGGCTAACACAATATACCGAAGAAAAAAATTCCCTTTCTCTTGCCAACCCTAGCCTAAATCTGTCCTAAATAGTGACCCCACACCCCTACTTGAAATAATTATACCTCGATACCATAGTCACCGCCACGGGTCCAGAAGAATGGCTAGACGAGTTCGGACTTTGGATAAACTATAAATATATTTTTGATAAACAGGATTCAAACTAAGAACATGCCAGTGCCTCTAACTCTATTGAATAAAGGTATGCCAACTTCAGAGGCAGCGAGATTTTTTTAAATCCAATAAATAGAAACCCCAATTGTTTAGATATATTCCAAGAATCCACTCAGTGTTAAATATTATTCATTATTATTATTTACTAAACATGAACTTCAGGATGGTAAATATCTAGATAAATTTCTAGAACCAAGAATGGACACAAGATTTCTAAGCTCTAGAACAAAGAATAAGGCAAAATCATGGCGACGTCGATGAACGTTACAGAGTTCTGTCAGAAAGATGTTTCTTTTGAAAAGTTAAAAATTTTAGTTTTCTTTTCTACAGAAATTTGCACGCAATATTTAAATAATGCATTTAGATAATCACTTTTTGGCGCTCTCAATTTACGACGATAGTATCATAAATCGATGTAATGTTTCGATTGTATTTTCGGCAGTTACTGATATTGATTTTCAAGTGGTTTTTAAATATTCCGATATATTTCAAACAATATGGAAAATTCGAATAGTGCATTTGAGTATTTACTTTTTAAGGCAATGATTCTATCGATTTTTTGGCTGTTATTGCTATTGATTTGTCCATAGTTTTTAAATCCTATATTTTTTATACGATATCATTAATTACAACAACCTATTTTTGAGGAGTCACGTGATTCCGCCATCGATCCTTTTTTTTTCTGCAATTACTACTACGGATTTCATGATTTCTAATTATTTATTTTTACTGTGATGATTATTTAGTGCGTTTATATTATAATTAGTGCGTTTCCCCCCCCCCCCCCCAACAAAACAAAATGCGAGATGATCACCCATAACATTACAATAAAAAATTATGACACTTTTAATTAAAAAAAATATATATATATTTATCTTTGTAAAGATAGCGCTTTTGTTATTTTAAATTAGTAACATATACATTTGTTTTTATTAAAGTATCTTGCAGAAAGACATTAGTGACAGAGAATTTTGTCGCAGATAGCCCGAAAGAATTCTGCCACAGGGTTTCTATTTTTTTTTCCTGGATCCATTTGGGTTTAAAAAGGTAGATTTTGCGTGATGACGACAGTATAAGCAAAGGTATTCAAGAAAGAATTTGTTTGATACATAAATCAATCCGAATTTCACCAACAAAAAAGTAAGTCCTCCCAAAGTAAAGAAATTTTTTATAAAATAAGAGATTACCAATTTTTGCATTATAGCTTCAGAATCTTCTGCATGTCCCGTCTGGGCTGTGACTTGTAGCTGTGCGGAGTGTAGCTGAAGTAATAAATGCTGCAATTCTTTTTGGAGTGATAATTTTGAAGCTTCAGCTTCGCATAACTCTCTCCGTATTCTGGATAATTCTTTCTAAAAACATTTAAAAACTCTATTAATTAGTAGTAAAGAAAAATAAGTTGTACCTAAAAACTGTTGATACTTAAGAGAACCCTATAAAAACTATTGATATTTCAGAGAACCCTATACTATAGGAAAATTAAGTTGTACCTAAAAAGTGTTGGTAATTATAAGAGGACCCTATATGATAAGAAAATTAAGTTGTACCTAAAAAGTGTTGATAATTAACAGGACCCTATATGATAGGAAAATTAAGTTGTACCTAAAAAGTGTTGATAATTATAAGAGGACCCTATATGATAGGAAAATTAAGTTGTACCTAAAAAGTGCTGATAATTATAAGAGGACCCTATATGATAGGAAAATTAAGTTGTACCTAAAAACTGTTGATATTTAAGAGGACCCTATATGATAGGAAAATTAAGTTGTACCTAAAAACTGTTGATATTTAAGAGGACCCTATATGATAGGAAAATTAAGTTGTACCTAAAAACTGTTGATATTTAAGAGGACCCTATATGATAGGAAAATTAAGTTGTACCTAAAAACTGTTGATATTTAAGAGGACCCTATATGATAGGAAAATTAAGTTGTACCTAAAAACTGTTGATATTTAAGAGGACCCTATATGATAGGAAAATTAAGTTGTACCTAAAAACTGTTGATATTTAAGAGGACCCTATATGATAGGAAAATTAAGTTGTACCTAAAAACTGTTGATATTTAAGAGGACCCTATATGATAGGAAAATTAAGTTGTACCTAAAAACTGTTGATATTTAAGAGGACCCTATATGATAGGAAAATTAAGTTGTACCTAAAAACTGTTGATATTTAAGAGGACCCTATATGATAGGAAAATTAAGTTGTACCTAAAAACTGTTGATATTTAAGAGGACCCTATATGATAGGAAAATTAAGTTGTACCTAAAAACTGTTGATATTTAAGAGGACCCTATATGATAGGAAAATTAAGTTGTACCTAAAAACTGTTGATATTTAAGAGGACCCTATATGATAGGAAAATTAAGTTGTACCTAAAAACTGTTGATATTTAAGAGGACCCTATATGATAGGAAAATTAAGTTGTACCTAAAAACTGTTGATATTTAAGAGGACCCTATATGATAGGAAAATTAAGTTGTACCTAAAAACTGTTGATATTTAAGAGGATGCTATACCTAAAGATGCTGTTTTGTGTTATCAAAGGCAAATTAACGACAAATGGTTATAAAATTTTTAATTAATAATATCAGGGTGCGTATCAAGGTTTTTCAACAGAAAATAAGCACCTTTACCAAAAATAAGCAAACAAAACTAAGCAATTAGCAAAAAATAAGTACTTTTTAAGCACTCAAAAAATATTTTTAAATTCTTTCCAAAAAAATCTGCAACTCAAGTCTTCACTGCAAAGTTAACTGTTATCACAGTGTAACATTCTTAACTGTAAATATACATATAGTAATATACAATAGTAAATATACAATAGTATATTACATATACTAAATTTTACTTTATTAAATTTCAATAACTATACTCATAAGTCTTAATTATACAAGAAAATAAAAGGAGATACGAAAGAAAAAAAAACACAGATCAGGTCCCAGATGAATCACCAGATATGTCAACCGAATGAAAATACATCGTAGCAAAATGTAATTGAAAACATACAGAATTCAATAGCAGAGAGCATAAATTATATGCGGAACATTGTGATAAAGATCTGTTCGATGACCAATCGAAATCACAAGGAAAAAAAATATATTTTCTCATGTCAGTAACACTAATTTTTGTTTTCTGAGCATGCATTTATATTTTAGTACGGATTTATATTTTGTTATTAAAAAAGTTTGCAAAATTAAAAAGTTACAAAATCTTAGTGAATTTAATAGTGATAGTTTAATAATGATTTAAATTAATAGCATTGGCTTGCTAGCAGAGCCTGCATAACTCCATGTTTATGTACTTCACATTTTAGTATAGCACTTGCGTCAATAATTTACCTGAATAAATATGTTTTATTTGTCATTTTAGTAAAATACCAGTCAAGGTGTGATTGAAAACATTAAAACTTGTTTAATTGTAAGAGGAAAGGTTTCGAAATGCGACTTTTATTAGGCAATCAAACTGGTTTCGGTTGGTTTTCATTCCACAATTTTTAGTAGTGGTTCGGTATATTTCGATAGAATTTTTGTTTTCTTTTTTTTTCCTCTATGATTACATTTCTTGCTTCCTACACATTGGTTTTTGATGCCTAATGTCTTATATAAATGTGACTTCAATTTTGTCAAAGATTCTAAAAAATATATATTACGCGTGCAGTTATTATAGAACACTCTGTTTAACACGCGTCAGAAACGGCGCCATTATTGTTGGTGGAAAAAAATTGTGGAAAAATGTTTGCGCACATATCTCTAAACTATTTCATGTAATCTGCACGTGGCAAAATTAACAATGGGATAGAACTGAAATTTTTAATTAAAACCTGAGGGCAAGTGATGCGCTTGGCTCAATCCGATTTCAAAACCTATAAGAAAAGGAAAAAAATTGCTTTAAAATTAAGAAATATATAAGAATAAGATTTTTTCTTTCTTTTTTTAACTTTTTCTTCTAAATTTCAGTTTAAAGAATTTTTTTTTTACATTTTATTCGTAGTAAAAGTTAATCAGTTTCAACTTCACACGTAGTTTTTTCCTTTAATTCAACAGTACGAGTACGAGCATTCATCCTAGGCAATTTTAGCCCCGTGAGCTTCTATTGTTTACTAATAAAAATAATTAATATTAAGCAATTTTGAGATTGTCCGGAATAATTGTGTGGCGAAGAACATTTTCATAGTTTACAAGAACAAAGCCATTTTCATTTATATATTCCATTGAGCCATTATACAGATATATATATATATAGCTCAATAAAGACAAAATGAAAAGTGAGAAAAACGAAGAAAATTAATAAGCTTTATTAACTGCGCATAAACTGCAAGTATATAGAACTCATCAAACAAGTTAAATAATTGAGAAAATATGGAAAATAATAAAGAATAATGACAAGAGAAGAAAAATTATTAAAATAAAATTATTTTTTAAAATACATTTTAAAGAAATTTTATCTAAAAAAAATATTATTACAAATCCGGAAAACAAAATAAAGAAAATAAAATCGTATGAGCTTTTGAAGAGATTATATTTTTACTTTATTTCGTTTTCCGGATTTTAAAAAATTTTTTTTAGGTAGATTTTTTAATATTTTAAAAAATAATTTTATTTTATTTTAATAATTTTTCCTTTCTTGTCATCATTCCTTATTATTATACTTTATTATTATCATTATTCTTTATCATTATACTTTGAAAAGGTAAGAATTTTTAACCCAAGTATCACAAAAACATACCCAAAAAGAAGTCATGATTCAACAACATACGTTCAAGACGAAATTTCATTGCTGTTTAAAAAAACACAGAAAGACAGGGGGGGAGGGGAAATCGCATCTACATTAATAGTTGCAACCCAAAAGAATAATTTGTAGTACCTTTTCTCTAATCTGTTGTCACAGCGGGCGGTCTACATTTTAAAAGCGAACATGATATCGAGTTACTTTAGTCAGGGAGGGAGCATTTTTTTTTTTTTCAAGTGCGATTGACGCGACATGTCAAACAACAAGCCTTGACACATACCAGATCCCACAAACACGTGACCAGCGGAATGTCTCTGCATCCTTTTCTTCTCCGAAACACAAGAATTTTTTTTTTTCTCCAGACACTTCACATATGAGAACACTAAAGCATCTCGTTTTTAATCCTTAAAAAATGATGCATTTCTTAACCCAAAAGCAGTGTTTCTTCTTCATGATGGGTGTTTCGTTCTATCGAATGGATTTCGCCATCGGTACGAGTCTAATGAAAAGAATACGCGAGAGACAAAACGAAAACAACCCTTTGAACAGGGACACAGAAAACTGGATGCACGTTCCCCTAAGCATTCAAGACGTCCTCATATCGATAGATGATAAGCTCAGAGGTTTGGATACTTTTAGTCACACTTTGAAATTAGCCAGGCTAGATTTCTCCCTCGATCAGCTGGTCAGGAGAATGGAAAACGTCGAATCTAAATTGGGAAGACTCGAGACCAAATTCGATCTTCGAATGGAAAAAGTGGAGGAGATCGTGGTCAGCAAGGACATAAAGGAAGAATTTTCCAACGAGCACCTTTCCCGCAAGCTGGAAACTTTGAACGACAAGATAAACAACAAGGCGGCTTATCTCGATGCCAAACTGGACATAAAGTTGGAAAGAATAATGAGTAAATTGGAACTTCTTGAACGAGACTTGCATAACTCGGTGGATGATGTTCTCGAACGTTTAGTGAAGGGCGAAGAAAAGTGCAGGTTCGCAGAGATCGAAATAACGAAACAAGAAAAGAAACTCGAAATAATCGTCGCCGATATGCACGAGATCAAGGCGTTCGTGAAAGGCGATCTGGCAAACACGGTCGCTCAGAACTTTGCCTCCCTAAGTTCAGAAGTTAACAGCGTTAAAACTTTCATGCAAGTCAAAGAGAACACGAGTGAAAAAGCTTGGACAGACATTCAGACGAGCATGTCAGGTACGAGGGAGCGTCTTCTCCTGCTGCTGCAGGACAGTAGCAATAAAATCGACAATCTCTCAGCCACTTTCAATCAAGGCGATAGAAGCAGAAGTGCTCCAGTTTTAGATTTGTGCGGCACAAGCGAACAGATTGAAAATCTCACGTCAAAGTTAGAGAAGGCACTCACCATAGGCGAAACCAAATTCAAAGAACTGGATGCAGACGTCGAACAGTATACGAAGAAAGTGATTAATGGAATACAGGAGCTGTGGAAGACATCAGACGAATTGAAAGTAGACTTGTCACAAACACTGGAGCAGGGAAGTAAAACTAGAGAAATGGTGCGCAGAGAATTTCAGCGATTGCACGAACAGATTGAACCCAAGCTGGAACCTAAACTGTCCGACATCGATAAAAGGGTGGTGGAGCTGAGTGCCACTGTGGATAACAGCTTCGCCACACTCCTAGTGGCGCAGAACACTTTCATAGATTCCTGCAAGCGAATCCAGCAAGAAGAGTTGCACGTCTACGACATTCTTCAACAGATTGTGTACGAGATGAGGAACCGATCCGTGTCGGACATCCACAGAATCAGTTCCGAGTTCCAACAGCAGAGTTTTCAAATAAACAAATCGATATCTCACGTCTTGGCGGCTGTTTGGATGACAGGAAACATGACGACGAGCATTCTGAATGATCTGGTCAAGAAGGGTGAGGAGAGCATCAATTGGAACAAATTGTGCGTTGTGGGAGACGTGGTGAAAAATTATTCAACGCAAGTGCAAGAAGATTCAATGTACGAATCTGTTAATGATTCCAACCTTAATTTAAATGAATACGAAGATTACCAACTATCCAGGTAAATTTAGGTAAATAAGAAGCTTCATCTTAGTTACTTTATCAGGTCTAGTTTTACTGCAATAAGTAAAAAAATAAAATAAAATATTATAAGCAAACCAAGCCCAAAGTAAATATTTAGCCTAATATATATACATAAACAATTTACTCTAGATTAGTCTCACAGACCTCGCTAAATGCGTAAACACCTATACAGGGTGCGTAGTCAGATTTTTCAACAAAAATAAGCACCTTTCAAGTACTTTTTAAGCACTCAAAAACATTTTTAAACACTTTCCAAAAAAAATCACAATTAGGATCTGTAAGGTAATAAAAATATTTTTTTTATTGTTAAAGTTATTCATAAACATAAAATCAATAAAATTCAAAACCATTTTCAAAAATCTTACGTAATTATAATAAAATAACTAGTTTCTGATAAATATTGCTGAGAAAATTGTGAAAGAAAGCATTTTTTGTAATTTATGACGACAAACGACACGGCAAAATAAATAAATAAATATCTTTTTAAAAGATAGAAAATTAAGCACTTTTTACAAACCCCGAATTAAAAAAGGTACTATTAAGGGCCTTTAAAAAACGTAAATAAAAAATAAGTACCTTTAAGCACTTTTTAAAAACGCTACGCACCTTACTATAATGAAAGAGAATAAGTAACTTCCATCGATTGTTCCCGCAAATCCTATGCATGTTTATTATTTTATAAATCTAGGGATAAGTATATTTTTTGGGCTCTCTTATAGAATGTATTTAAACTATAAATAAAAATTATGTTATTATTTATTTCATGCAATTAAAATTTACCTGTCTTTCATTCTCTCCCCTGTTCCCACTGATGAAGCAATAAATTTATTGATTCGTATATTTCACTTTAAAAATATTTATAATTATAATATTTAAAATATTTATAATTATAATATTTAAAATATTTATAATTGTAAATAATTATAATATTTAAAATATTTACAATTGTAGATAATTATAGTATTTAAAATATTAATAATAAATTCATTTTAGAATTAAGTTCAGAAAAGCAATCTTATACAACATTTTTGTAAAAGAAAAAAAAATGACGCAGCATTATTTTGAAGTTTATCCCTAGTATGTTGCATAATTCCATAGAATTTTGTCATGTGACTAAAATCAAAGAATATCCACTGATGAAGCAATAAATTTATTGATTTATGTATTTCATTTTAAAAATATTTAGAATTATAATATTTAAAATATTTATAATTCATTTTACAATAAAATTCAGAAAATCAATCTTATACTACATTTTTGTAAAAAAAAAAAAAAAAAAAAAAAAAAAAAAAAAAAAATGCCACAGCATTATTTTGAAGTTTATCCCTAGTATGTTGCATTATCTGATCTCCCTCTCCCCTTCACAATCATATATCAACTCTGTTAAAACACCGTTGATAAAAATCATTTAATAATTTAGAACTAGTAACATATTGCATAATATTTCCATCGCCTATGGAATCCATTAGATTAGGTCACATTTTCCCCCCAATGCCTTTCATTTATGCAGTGTTTGTTGATTTAAATCAACAGATTTTTAGGTTTTAAATCATTGACTGACATTAAATGACTTTTTTTTAAAAAAAGGAATAAATAATTATTTGATTCGAATTGGCAATGAAATTTAATATGAAGTTACTTAATTTTTTTTATTGGTTTTCATGGTTTTGAAATTATTTGTAAATATTAAGTCCCTGGACAAATTAGACTCACTATAAGATTCTATGTAAAATCTTAATTACCAGGTGATACTATACAGCTTTATTGTTTTTATTAAGAACAAAGCAAAGCAAGTTTTTTTTCTACATATATTAATACAACTGCAAAAAGTATGAATATAAATTGTATTAAGGGGATAAAAAAAAATTATTGTAATGAATGTAATGTAATGTTTTTCAAAATATTTAAATTTTTTTAATTTTTGGTCACGAATAAGATTTACAACAAATGTTACTTGAAATGAATTTAACAAACGATTTTTTTTTTAATAAGGGATTTTTTTTTTATGAACATTTAATGAAAATTTAAATTTTATTATCTTTAATGAATGTAAACACATACTTTCGGAATTTAAAGTATTTTTTCTAAACGTTGTTCGATGCCAAATTTTTATTTTATGAATGTAAATTAAAATTTTATTATATTTATGTAAAATTAAAATTGTATTATATTTATTGAATGTAAACACATACTTTTGGAATCATTTAAAGTATTTATTCTAAACGTTATTCGTGGCCAAATTTTTATAGCATCAAAATTATATTTAAATATCTGTAGAGCAAGGCACTTTTTTTAAATTAAATGTAATAAAAAGCATACTTTAATTAATATTTTCATCATTCTTTTAATATTTTCATTTGAAACTTGGTACATGAGTTGTATTGTATATGCATAGTATAGCTGACACACCAAAAAGAAGTCTCTAGCATTCAAATAAATAAATAAATAAAAAAGAAACATCAATTAAAAGGAAAGTATCATGATTTGTTCAAAGGATAAATTCAAATTGCCTTTTTAATGGTGCATAGCAGCCAACATGGATTGGAAAAAATAACGTAAATTTCATGAAATAACGTAAATTTTGTGAAATAACGTAAATTTCATGAGAATTGATCATAATAATAATGTACTAAATATTTTACACATAGGAAATTTCAGGGATTTTTATAGTTCTCGAAATAGAAAAACTGCAATTTTTCAGGTTATGACTGACATCAAACATACCTGAAATGTTATTTATTATGTTTACCCATAATTTCAAATATTAAAATCGGCATTGAATTCACCAAGCAAGCAGTAATCTGTACAAAAATTCAATTTCGATAGGGTTTTCTTTAGGAAACTTACAAAATTTTCGGGAATTTTCTAAAATGTACAAAAACCAGGAGAATTTTAATTAAACCGGTAAACCAGAAGAAACTGGCAAAATCCAGTAGAGTTGGCAGCTATGATAGTGTTTTTTTTTAACAAAAGGTAAGTTATTGAATGTAGAAAGCGTAGCAAATTGCAGTTGAGGTAAGGTAGAAGGCAACATAAATTATGTCATCGCAATAGATCTGAGATAAATTTTGTGTTTTTTCTTCTTTTAATTTTCACCTGTTTTTCGGTAGATATTTAATGATGATAGATTTTGTTATCAATAAATTTGAATCATTTGCATAGATATATGAGTATAAAACAATTTCTAATGCAGTATTATTATTTGTTACGATTTATTCTTAATAATATTTATAAAATTAAACAAACTATAAACTAAAATTCTAAAGGCTTTAAAAAAAATATTTTTTTTTACTTAAATCAAATTAATCGGCTTAATCGAAATTTTATTTATTTTTAAATTAAAAAATAATCGCGAATCGTAATCGTAAGATTTTTTCAAGTCAGAATATATTTGTCTAAAATTGTTCTCAAAATTGAATTTCACTTAACTACTTATTTTAAGTTTTATAATAACATTTTCATTCCCTCGCTAATAATGAGGAAATGATTCTTGAGTATTAAAAGTACCACACAGATAATATTTTTTCTTCCCAATTTAATGTATTTTTTTCTTTAGTTTTACAATTCGAACGAAAATCAAGTATTAATTTCGTTATTTTGTTTCAGTGGTTAAATTTTGCACGCGGAACGTATGGCACATTTTGAATTTATTTTTTGATTTGTTTAAAGTATAGGTGCACAAACTACGGCCCGCTAACTCTCGATGTGCGGCCCGCGGAAAGAACTCAAACAAAATGAAAAAAAAAAAGTTAAATCAATTTTATTTTATTTTTATTTTTTTGAAAACTAAAAAATACTTGGAAATTTGAAATTGCACATTTAAGTTTTTAATGTACCCAATTTTTTATTTTTCGATGATTAACGCTAAGGATTTACGCATAGTTTTGAAAATCCCAATGTTTTTAATACGACATTATTATGATACACGAATTTCGAACGTTTATCACGTTTGATGGTCTTCGTGTGTGCTGATTTCGTAAATCCAATGAAATTTTGGTAGCTATTGCTACCCATTTACACGTAGTTTCTGAAATCGCGATTTTCTTTAAATATGTTTTAACATCTCGAAAGTTATTGAACGCTTTATTTGAGCTAACTGCATTGCAAACCTAAATTTTTTTTGACCATTTTTTTTTTTTGGTACTTATTGCTACGCATTTCCGCGTGGTTTTTAAACATTCCGATATTTTTAGCACGATATTATTATGAATCGCTCATTTAGATAACCATTTTTCAACGTGATTTATCGATGCCGATATTATCGCAAATCAATTTACTTATCAATCGTTATTTTGGTAATTATTGCTACACATTTCTACAAGGTTTTTAAAGTTTCGATATTTCTTATACTCTATTGCGACAATTTTGAATCCTGCAGGATTCAAAATTGTCGCAATAGGTTCATTGTAGACCTCTAGGTTCATTGTAGGTTTTACAATAGAGTTCCTCCGCCCACTCCATCAATCATTCAGGTAGGGGAGAAACTTTTAGGCGAGACCTATAAGACAGCGTTTTTGACGCGCTTTATTTATGCCGATTTCATTGTAAATATAAAGGGATTTTAATAGTTTTTTTCGATAGTTAATATTACGCTTTCCCCCGCGATTTGAAAAATCCATCGTAATTCGTAAAGCAAATTTATTATACAAAATGCAGAAAAAATTTGTCAACAAAATATTAACAAAGATATTATATTTTATCACCGATGTTGAAGAGCTGACCCAATTTTTGAGTTTACGACTACTAATAACAAGGTTAACCCCGTCCCGTCCCCGTAAGGGGGCACTCCGAAAGTTCGAAGTGAGCGTAACAGTTCAATTACATGAGCAAACATATTCAAAATTTCAAATTAGAGTTTTAACATATAAGTAGAATATTAAATATGAAATAAAGAAATCAGTGCTACTTAGAAATAAACTAAATGCAAACAAACATTACAAAAAAAATAAACAGTAACAATCAGAAGAGATATTGATGTCGCATCTTCAGTAGGGTGCAAAGTTAATAAAAGGAAACAATTTCACATAGAAAATATAGGGTGTTCGTAACTCAGAATAATTACAGCTAGCACAACAGTACTAAAGGCATCAAATTCCAGGAATATTTTTTTTAAACAAAAAAGACAGATATATATATAAACTCTAGGAACACAAGGGATTAAAATTTTCAAAATGAGGAATCACTTAGGGGTAGAGATTGACAAAAGCATGAAACTAAAGCACAAAAAACATTTTAAGAGAAAAGTCAAGTAAAAATCAAAC